AAAGCATGATTGTTTTAGACTGACAGACATTACATCATCAGCATGGCATTGGAAAAGTTACTTAGCCTCTCTGAACCACAGATTGATAATCTCCCAAAGGTTGATCATCTAAAAACCCACAAATCTCTAGTGAGGAATAAAGTAGGTAATGCACAAAAGTGCAAGGTAGTAACAGTATATAGAAGAACAAATTCACAAGTAGGTGGTGATATTCTGGTTAATATTGAGACTTCATTTTGCTTATGGTACTAAACTAATTGGCATGCCAGGATTGCCATCAGCTCATATATACTTGCCATTTTCTTTTCAGAATAGGGCTAAAAAGCTTAACTTTTACAAAAATAACATAATTTGTTAGAGAGCAAAATATAAGAGAAGTGAATTTTTTGAGTGTTTTTATAATTCATGATTATTCATCTAATTGAATACATAAACCTTAACCATCAGCGTCGAATGTGAACAAGAAAATCATAATTTCTACTTGACTGCAAGCTGTGTAAGAACAAGGATAATATGTAATTTTTAGGCCCTGGCATATAATAAATGGTAAATCAGTAAAAGTAAAATTAATAAATATTCACATTTTATGGGTCATAATGTCCTGAAAACATATACAGAAGCCATTGCTTACTTCTATAGAACTTGCACATTGTGCTTTCTTTCATTCTAGACTGTGGGCTTGCAGCTGTCTCATTGTCCACTCTCCCTCAATTGTGATAACTACCTTCATTTGTAGGGTACCAGCAGCCTAAAAACTAACACTTAACTTACTTTCATGCTAAAGGAATATAGGGAGATTGATAGTTGTAACCAAGAACTAACTATTGCCATTGGTCTAGCTTAGTTAGGTGTTTAACTGGCGTAAAGTCTTCTTCATTCTTATTCTGGCTTTCATTATTTGGTCTCCCTCCTGTCCCAGGCTTGTCTCCTTTCTTATTTCCGCAGAAAAAGAGAAATGTCCTTTTTCATTGCATCTTGAGTCCACTCTTCTATTTCAGCAAAAAGCAAACCCACCCTCCCTATAACCAGTTGCTGTATGCTTTGGGCTCTGCTACTCTAATCTTGATATGGAAGGAGGATATCTGATGAATCAGAAGAAAAACAAAACTGGATTCAAATACATTCCTCAACACTTAGTAGCTTC